CGGATGGACCGTGAGTGTAGGGGTGGAGGCGGAGTCGCCATGTACATCCACCAAAGCCTCCCTTTTACAGAAGTGACTATTGATTCTACTTTGGAGTTTGTCGCATGCAAAGTAAAAATGAATGGCACATACCTGGCTATATGTTCAGTTTATTGTCCACCCGATACAGTGATAATCTATGATGAGCTTTTTGCTCTTCAGGAACGTCTGCCACAAAATAAAGTAATTTTAGGTGATTTTAATGCTCATCATACGTTATGGGGTTCCCTGCGGGTGGATGGTAGAGGTGAGCAAGTAGTTAAGCTGATTAATGAGTCTGATTTAGTCCTTCTGAACGATGGTAGTCCCACGCGGGTGGACGATAATACCGGTAATTTGAGCTTTATTGACCTATCACTGGTCTCTTCATCAGTAGCAGCTAAGTGCCTGTGGCACACCATTGACGACTCATTGGGAAGCGATCACCTTCCTATTTTGATTAAATATTCATGCGACACAGTGAGAACGCCTTCAGCGCCTAAATTTTACATAAAAAAAGCAGACTGGGTCGCCTTCACTAGGAGCGTCAAGCTCGAACTAGTTGGAGAGACCACTGATGATAAAGTAAACAATATTCAGAATTCGATTATAGAAGCAGCTTTGCTATCCATTCCTAAAACTTCGACAGATAGCGTTAAGCATAGAGTTCCGTGGTGGACACCAGATTGCCGCAGGGCGCTGTGTCGACGCAATAAGGCCTACAGGCTTTTCAAAAATAACATCACAAATGAGAACTTTTGCAATTACAAACAAGCAAGAGCTAGGGCTCGTAGAGTAATTAGACAAGCAAAAAGAGACTCCTGGCGGAGCTTTGTCTCTACAATAAACAGCAACACAAAAACATCAGAGGTTTGGTCCACAATCAATAAAATAAATAAGAAAAAATCATCTTTCAAAGTTAACAACATCATTTATGAGGGTAACAATTTAGATTCACCTAGAGACATTGCTAATGCACTCGCCAGGCAGTTCTCTCATACAAGCAGTTCAGCAAACTATCATCCCGCCTTCCTGCCCATTAAGGAAGCGGCTGAACTGCAACCAATTCACTTTGCCACAGGAGATGACTTTGATTACAATAAAGATCTTACAATAGATGAGCTTGTCCGAGCCCTAGAAGCCTGTAGAGGAACATCCCCAGGCCCCGATGAGATTCGATATGAGATGATAAAGCATCTTAATCATGGTGACATGATTAAGTTGCTAGAAGTGTACAATGAAATTTGGAAAAGCCACACTTTTCCAAACTCATGGCACTTCGCCCACATCATTCCCATATTGAAAGGAGGGGGTAATCCCAAACTTGCCATCTCCTACCGCCCAATTGCGTTGACAAGTTGCTTATGCAAGGTCATGGAAAGAATTGATAACAGTAGGCTATTGCATTTTTTTAAATTCCAGACATTTGCTAGTTGACGAGCAGTGCGGTTTCCGAAAGGGACGCCAAACTCTCGATCAGCTAGTAAAGCTGGACAGTCATATTCAAGAGGCAATTGCCAAAAAAGATTTTTTGATTTCAGTATTTTTAGATATAGAAAAAGCCTACGACATGACATGGTGATATGGCCTACTCAGAAAACTTTATGCTTTTGGATTACGTGGAAACTTGCCTTGTTTTATTCAAAATTTCATTTCTGACAGAACGTTTGCTGTCAAATTATTTTCTGACAACGTCACTTTTTCGGACATATTTGTCCAGGCAAACGGGGTCCCACAAGGAAGTGTCTTGTCACCACCATTATTTCTATGTATGATCAATGACATCTTACCGGCTCCTCCTTGGAATCTTGAATACTCACTGCATGCTGATGATTGTGCATTATGGCATTTCAGTAATAATGTAGAATTCTCAGCAAATCGCATCCCATTGGCACAGGATATGATTCATAACTGGGGCCTCCAGTGGGGTTTTAAGATTTCCACAAGAAAGAGTATTGGGGTAATTTTTTTACATAGGAGGAAGCCGAACATCAAGCTGACACTAGACAACCACCCAATTCAAAATTCTGCTAAATATCTTGGTTTACTTTTTAATAGTACACTCAATTGGAAGACCACATTGGTCAGTTAAAGATTAAATGTCAAAGAGCATTAAATTTACTAAATTGCATTTCTGGTAATAAATGGGGAGCAGTCTTTGCTAATGATATATAATGCCCTGATTATGTCTAAATTAAATCATGGGTCAATCGTGTCCATGGTTCGGCATCGAGAACAAGTTTGAAAGGGTTGGATGCTGTGCAGAATGCTTGTTTACGTGTGTATGTTGGAGCCCTAAAATGTACTCGGATCGAGCGTCTTGGGGTGGAGTCAGGAGTACCTCCCGTCTGACTAAGACTCGGCTAGTTAACACTGACCCATGCCGCAAAGGTGCGCTAATGGCAATGGAGGCACTAGACCCTTTGCTACGAGACTCCACGACTCTACGGTAGAGAGATCTATACCTCGTCGGTATAGATCTCTCTACCACCAATACCCTGGTTAATTCAAATATAGCGCCATGGGAAACCCCAATTTTTCTATCATGGAAGCCTGGCTTCCATCAGCCAAGGCCATAGCGCCGGAGGTGGAGGTACGCCAAAGGTTCAGAGAGATTCTTATAAATAATCTTTTTTTTTTCCATATATATACTGACGGCTCCAAGACAGATGAGTGTGTGGGTACAGGTGTATGGTCGACTGAATGTGAACTAAAGTTCAGACTGCCGAATCATACATCGATTTTTCTTGCTGAACTTTTTGCTATTGACAAAGCTGTTGATTTTGCACTATCGACGACCCACGATAGAATAGTTATTTTTTTCAGATTCATTAAGTCCACTTAAAGCTATTAAATTTAATGTATCATGACATTGATATTGGTGATAGTGGCCCAGTAAAGCAACATCCATAAAGAGTAAATCCCACAAAATATAAGCAGATGAAGGATGAGGTTCGGTATATGTTCGAAAACGGAATTAATGAGCCCAGTGTGAGTGCCTGGAGTTCCCCATGTATACAAGTACCCAAGGTAGGTAAGGTAAATACACTAACAAGGGACGAGTCTTATACTCTACCTCGTATTAATGATTGCATTGACCAGGTGGGTAAGGCCAAGTTTGTAACTAAGATAGACATGTTAAAGGGGTACTGGCAAATCCCCATGACAGAGAGAGCAAAAGAAATATCTGCATTTGTGACGCCAGATGGACTCTTTCAGTACTGTGTAATGCCGTTTGGCTTAAAAACAACCCCCGCAACCTTCCAGCATTTAATTAATGGTCTGATTTCAGGACTAGATGGATGTAAAGCTTACCTGGATGATATAACAATTTACAGTGAAAACTGGGTAGAACATCTGGCTGCAGGCACTGTTTGAGAGGCTTGCGACAGCGAACCTAACGCTATGAAGTTGGTCAGGGACAGGCCAAGCCTTTGTAAAATGGATGCAATAGAAAAGTACTGAGTACCCAAGTCCAAGAGAGAGATGATGAGATTCCTCGGCATGGCTGGCTACTACAGGAGGTTTATGATGAATCTTTCTGACATTTTTGCTCCACAGACTAATTTGTTAAAGAAAGGGGTTAAATTTATTTGGTCAAATTCATGTGAAAAGGCATTTAAGACCGTCAGAGCCATGCTGATGTCTACACCCATCCTCATATCACCCGACTTTGAGAAGGGTTTCATCCTGTATGTAGATGCTAGTTGCACAGGTGCTGGTGGTGTGTTATGTCAGGCTGATGCAGCTCGTGTTGATCATCTAGTGTGTTATTTCTCCAAGAAATTTAACAAGCATCAGAGAAATTACTCTACAATAGAGAAAGAAACTCTTGCTTTGATTTTAGCTTTGAGGCACTTTGAAATTTACTTGTATCCTACTAAGGAAGCTGCAAAGATTTATACAGACCACAATCCTTTAACTTTTATATCTAAAATGAGCTGTAAGAACCAGAGGATTCTAAGATGGAGCTTAGAGCTTCAAAAATAAAACCTCAGTGTTAATCATAAGGGTAGGCAAAACATAAGGGTTACAGAATGATCAATTATAGTATACAAGTCTGATTTAATATTATGTATTGTATTCTAATACATCATTTTTGCATCAGCTAAGCTCCTATCTCTCTCACACAAAAAAATACTACAGGATATGGTGATGCAATGTACGGTTTGACTAATTCAATATGTGAATGGGCACTGATATGCTCTATATTGTGCATCACATTGTAAAATGTATAAACATTTAAGTAAAAAGAAAGTAATACTTCTTTTTCTTATAAGGAGGGAGATATTACATGACTGCGTATCGACCATCGACCTGCATATGACTGTCAACTAATTGCATGACCTCTGCATGACCTGACACCGCTTTACTCCGATTGTGACGGTTATATAAGTTTGCGGATGAGATGATTTCCGTACATTTTTGTTATCCGCTGTTTGGTGTAAATACAAATAAATAATAAATTGGCTTTATACTCCATTTTTGCATACCTACATTATATTCTAAAATTGGCAGTGCTATAGAAATGAAAGTTAAAAGGATATAATAATCATCTATAATAAAGATGATTATAACATGGATAATATACAAGCCGAACATATTGATGAGTGATTGTTAATTAACATATATAACAAGGCTAGAACAGAGGAGCTAGCATATAAATTAATGATTTGATTATCTTAATGAATAACAGAGCAAAGATAGAACAAGCACGAATCAATGTAATTAACACTAAAGAAGTGATTGCAGCAGTATTAACACATAAGAACATATGAACATCCGAGTGGACAAAAGGATATTTATAAATTTATGACACTTGACACCAAATTATATGAACTTAGAGTGGGTTCTGTTATCATTCTGTGTCATTGTTAATGAACGAAAACTACGTAACAATATATATATATATATATATATATATATATATATATATATATATATATAATACATATACATATATGAAGATAGAGAAGAGACAAATACACACACACACACACACACACTATACTGTGTTATAACGGTATTATATGCCCGCGTGGCCCCCACGTGGAGGCTTACAGTGACCACGTGGCACCACGCCCTGGCTACCCAATGCGGCGTGCCCCAGCGGATGGGCGGTTCTCCTCGCCCCCCCAAGCTAGCGTCTCGGACACTTAAGGGCCGCGTTTCGACCGGTCAGAGGAGAGTGTGCTTGGTGAGGTCTAGGTCACGTCTGACCTGGGCTGGGCCGGGAGCTGACCCCGGCGACCCTCCAGCCGACCGCCCAATACCCAGGGTCATACTTGTGTTTATTCTCTGTGTGCTAGCTCTATCAATAAAAGAGTTTTTAGCCACTAAGCTTTTACTACTTCCCTGTCACCAATGTTTAGAGGTCCATTATATAACTCTTACACACACACACACACACACACACACACACACACACAAATATATATGTGTAAGTGTGTGTGTGTGTGTGTGTGTGTGTGTGCACACACACACACACATTACCACATACATTTAAGTATAATAGGCTTGATGTGCCTTATCAGATTGGGTTTCGATCCAGAAAAGGTTTTGAACCACTGGGGTTAGGGATAAATAAATTAGATGAATAATTGATTCATAATTTCATTTAACCTTTTCAGTACCTTATACTCAGCGTTTTCGTACTTATGAAGCTACTAATCTTCTTAGATTATTCTATATTATTTTAAT